AAGAATTCTACTCGTAATTCTCAATTTTCTCCCTCAGAACTCGACTTTTATCCGATAAAATATTATATTCGGAATCAGGATCGAAAAATCGGTAGATTGATGTGTCGAAATTTTTAGTTGGTTTTCTGTTTTGGGTGAAAGTCTCCGTAATTTTTCAACGCGAAAGTTCGAAAAACCTAAAGTAGTTCGATAAGATAGAAATACAAATCTATCTACTGATTTTTCGATCCTGATTCCGAATATAATATTTTATGGCATAAAAGTCGAGTTCTGAGGGAGAAAATTGAGAATTACGAGTAGAATTCTTACTTTCTCGCCTATGATTTAGAAAAAATGAATTTTTTCAACAACAGAACGGAATTTCGAAAAACGCTCTACATACTATTGTTGCCCATCTAAAGGCGCATCGAATGTGGTATAAATCACACCTTCGAAATGGAATTAATATCATTTTTTAATTCAGCTTTTAATGCTGAGTGAGACAAGAATAGTTTGAACGTTTCGACTAAAAGCCCAAGTCGAAAAATCTAAGTTTTTCGAACATTCTCGTTTTTTCGAGTTTTTAGACCCTTCGCGTTTTTTTCGATTTGTCGACTCAAAAAGAAGGTTTCAAAAACGTTTTTTGAATAGCTCGAAGACGATGATCGATAGAGAGCTGCGGTTTTCACTAATGAGAAAAGGACTATTTTCACAAAGAACTCGAAACAATTTTGAAGATAGGTTTTTCAGCGGATCTTTGGAAAACCTCTTCATTAAAAAACTCATAATCCAGCCAAGAACCATCCAAATTACGTCGGAATATCAAGATGTACTCTATTTTATCTGCACCATATGTTTTTTTACTTGAGAATAGTAAAAAACATTACGGTACTTGCTTTTAGATTTTTAGGTTTTTCAAACTTTTAGGCTTTTTAGACTTTAGATTTCTTAGACTTTCAGACTTTTTAAACTTTTTAGACTTGATACATGTTTTATTTTACACCTTTCTTTACCGAGTTACAGGGTTTCTAAAACTGAAAAACTTGGTTTTTCAGACGTTTTTAGGTATGTTTTCTATAACTGAACCACAAACGTCTCAAAAAAATAATTTTTAAAAGTCTTCGTCTGTACTATGGCCTTAAGCACCTCTGGTAAAACTTTCAACTCGATGGAATAAAAGGGCGGTCCCAATGTATCCAATGAAAAACCGACTGTTCTGGAAAACTTGTGAACAGCAACAGTGTGAAACTTAAAACATACTTGATGATAAATTGTCGTAAAAATTTAACGATAATTCAAGATTGTTACTATAACATAGAAATAACAAAGTTTTTTTTTCTATCTCTTTCTTTTCCAGCTACAAATTGCTTAGATCTTTGTACTACTCCTTTGTCAGCAATTTTTAATCCATTTTCATACTCATACTTTAAGCTTTCGTCCACTGTATGACTGATTGAATAATACGCTGATAAGCGATCCGTATTCATACATTCATAAGGAAATTTTAATAGTTCTTTTGCCAAAGAAATTGACTCATTTAATGATTGCCCATCATCAACTAAACGATTGATTAATCCAATTTGTAGTGCTTCATCTGCATTTACTGTTCTACCACTTATAATTATATCCAATGCTCTTGACAAACCAATTAAACGTGGCAAACGAACGGTACCACCATCAATTAATGGAACCCCAAGTCGACGACAATAAACACCATATTTTGATGAACGTTCGCCAACACGTATATCAGCTAATAATGACAACTCAAGACCGCCAGCTACTGCGTAACCACTGATAGCAGCCAATAATGGTTTCGATAAAGGCATACGACTCAAAAGAAATTTGAAGATCACATAATGGTAGAAAATTCGAAAATCTTTGTCATAGTGATTACATAAAAAACCCAACTAGCCGTTTCAGTTGATATATTTCTTAATCCGTACTCTTAATCAACAGAAACTGGTGCATCTACAAGACCATGGTCAAAAATCCTTTTCTGAAGGCCTTCGGAAGATGAGCCGATGCTGCCAGCAGACGTCGACTGCCCAATCATCTTAAAGTTTCAGACTCTCAAGTCGTTTTAATCAAAGATAATTTAATTCTAACAGACAGACAAACTAAAAATGTGCAAGAAAACGACAGATCAGACTAAATCAGACGTTCTGATGATTTGAGTTTCTCTCAATCGGTCCTATGGTGGCGGCATTCGTAGCACTAATCTTGAAATGGTCGTAATATGACCAAATCGGCTAAACATTTTACCCTAGAGCGGTTTATTCCAAGCAAGAATTAGTACTCAAGAAAAGCTAGGTAAACAGCTTGTCAGCGTTGCTTCTACGACGCAAAAATATGAAAACTTCCTATTACTACGATATATTATAACATAGGACATGTAATAATATATCGTAATAATTATTAAAACTTATACATAACAACATCAGATCAATGATGCACTGTCTGTTACTGGTCCATTCATTGGCTGTAAACATGAAATTTTAGAGATTTCAGAATATCAGTACGCAATGTATTCTCAAAAAGAGATTATTTGCTGGGCTTGGTGTATTCTCACTGACAACATACGAGAATACAGAAACGTAATGTCGCCGTCGTTGGAGGGGGGTGCTACATGAGAGTGAGCCGCTATTGCAAATGTCGTGGATGAGATGTCGGAAAGTCTTACATTTATGTATTGTTGTATTCTCGCTGAGAATACACCACGCCCAGCAAGTTTAAAAATATAGTCGCTTTTGGAGAATAAACTGCTTACTGATATTCTGACACTCCTACCAAATTTATAGTGAAATGTGATCAGTCACAACTTCATCCCGAAAGTTTACAGCTACTAGAAAAAAGCCCTCGCAAACCGCAAAAATCCTCGTACTTAAGCTTTATACTTCTAACGTCCATTTCTTTCGGAATACGGAGAAGTCCTAGAAAGTTTTCACAAAAAATAGCTCGAGCATCCACCTAAGAGTAGATTCTTGGATCAAAATAGCTAGCTGCAGTGGGCAAATACCTCCTGCTACTTGCTAGTGAGCGATACAGTTGTCGCTAAATTGGGCAATCAATGCTCGATTAACTGGCCTCAGCTAGCTGCACCCGCCCGCTTTCAGATTTTCTTTTTCATGCATGGGATATCGCACCGCATCCGCCGCCTAAAGGGTAGTTGACACTCAAAAGCTTTAGAGAGAAAATGTGGAAATAGTGAGGTCATGTATCACTTCTTATATTTTGTCGTTGATTGCTAGGTCAACCACCATGTGCGACAACAACAGTCGGTAGAATTCAACGCTTTTTTAGCGTTGAATTTTTAATCTCGTGGAGGTTGTCGGAGGGTACGATCCAATTCTTCATACGGAATTACCTCTAGTCCATAAGGGAGCATGTCAAAATGTATTCCGGTCGGTCGGTCGCTATTCCTCTATTCCTCTATTCCGCTATTCCTCCATTCCTCTATTCCGCTATTCCGCTATTCCTCTGTAGTTTATGACAGAGTTCAGTCAGTCAGGTGCTCGTCGAGACATGAGAATATATGAACTAAGAAAATGTGCACGGTCAAGGTGAGTTTTCTAAATCGTCTTTTTGCTATATTTCTCACTCCTGATACGATCGATACATGACTGGTACATAATATTTTCCGAGTAAGAGAGAGAGAGAGTAATAATGAGACGAAGAGAAGATTCTGACTAAGGGAGCATATCAAAATGTATTCCGGTCGGTCGGTCGCTATTCCGCACACAACATTTCGTTTTATAATAACTTTTATATACATGTATATAGGAACTTCGTTTTCTTTTCTAATTTAATCTGCTTAGATTAGTCTGATTATTTCTTCAAAGACAACGCAATGTAGTCTTTTAGAAATATGGCTGTGAATATCGTGGGCTATCGTCTGAGCAAGCAAGTTTCGAGAGAGGCAAAAGAACTCTC